GCTAACCTCCTCCATGAGGATAGAGCCCTCCTGGCTTAAAATCTCCAAAAGACTTCACCTCTTAATACTGCTGCTTTTCAGATTCTGTTTCAACATGAATTTTGAAGGCACACAAACATTCAAACCATGACTAAGTCTATTTTGTCTGATGCTTGTGTAGCCACTTCAGCTCTCTTTTGGTGACTATTTGCATGGATATATTTCCGCACCTTTCACTTTTAACCTAATCATCTTTTGATCTAAAGTGAATTGATGAAGAGAACATATTTTAAAACAATTTTTAAAAAATCAATTTTGTCTCTCTCTGCCTTTTTAGATTGGTTTAATCCCTTTACATTTAAAGTAATTACTAATAAGGAATATTCACTTCTGCTGTTTTTCTGTTTGTTTTTACTGCCCTCTTTTGTGTTTAATTGACATTTATAGTGTACCATTTTCATTCCCTTTCCATTCTTTGTGTGTGTGTGTGTGTGTGTGTGTGTGTGTGTGTGTGTGTGTGTGTATTTCTTAGCTTTTTCTCTAGTAGTTCCCCTGGAGATTATAAGCAATATTTTAAATTTACAAGCCTCTGGTTTGAATTAAAACCAACTTACTTTCAATAGTATACAAAATCTCTGCTCTTAATATTGTTATTCTCACTAATTCATCTTTACACATTGTTCATCCTTTAACATAAATATATAATTTTGTTTCATGCCTATGTTTTTTAAATATATAGGAATAAAGGAATAACAAACTACATATACAATACTGTTGGCCTTTATAGTTTCCTATGTAATTATCCTTATCAGTGTCATTAAATTAATCATAAGATGTTGACTTACTGTTTAGTGCCTTTATTTCTGCCTGAATTAAACCCTTTAGCATTCTGTGTAGGACAAGTCTAATAGCAATGAATTTCCTCAGCTTTTGTTGAAATTCTCCTTCATTTTAATATAGAATTTTGGAGTAACAAGTTTTCCTTTCAGCACTTTAAATATGCTACCCCACTGCTTTCTGGCTTCTGTGGTTTCTGATGGGAAAGCAAGTGTTGGCATTACTGAGGGTCCTTTGTACATGATGAGTCCCTTGTCTCTTGCTGCTTTCAAGATTCTTTTCTTTATATTTGGCTTTTGAGAGTTTGATTACAATATGTCTCACTGCACGTATTTTTAAGTATAATTTACTTGAAGTTTGTTGAGCTTCTTGGATGTAGATGTCTATCTTTCATCAAACTTGGAATTTTTTGAAATATTTTTCTATCACTTTCTCTCTCTCTCTCTCTCTCTCTCTCTCTCTCTCTCTCTCTCTCTCTCTCTCTCTTTTTAAAATTTGTTATTCTCTGGAAGAGCCAGTATTCTCTGCTCTTTCTGTGACTCTGATTATGCATCTGTTGATATACTTGATGGTGTCCCACAGGTCTTTTGGGATCTATTGATTTTTCTTCATTCTTTTTTCTTTCTGCTCTTCAGGGTAGATAATCTGAATGGACTTATATTCAGTTTCACAGACTGTATCTTTTGCCTGCTCACGGGGTTGCTGTTGAAACTTTTAGTGAACTTTTCATTTGTTATTGAACTTTTAAGCTCCAGAAAATCTACTCGATTCCTTTTTATCATTTATTTTTATTAGTATTACTTATTTGGTGAGATATCATTGTCTTGTTTCCTTTAGGTCTTTGAGCATATAGAAGACAGTGAATTTAAAGTATTTGTCTAGTAAGTCTGATGACCTGGCAATTCTCAAGCACAGTTTCCATTTCCTTTCCCCCCATAAGTGTGTCATAATTTCTGATTACTTTGCATATCTTTTTTTGAATTATTATATTGTGGCAACTCACATTTTTCTCCATCACCAGGGTTAATTGTTGCTGATAGTTGCTTGTTTAATGACTTTTCTGAACTCCTTTTGTAAAGACTCCTCTTTGTTGCATGTGACTACTCAGGTCTCTTTTCTCTTGGTGCAGTGGGGGTTAGTGATTAGACATATTTCCTTAAATGCATAGTAAAACACAGACATGCACTCCTGACCCTTCCAGTCTTTGCAAGTCAGCCCTTTGTTGGGGCACACCCTCAATACCATCTACTCTGCATTATTCTTTACTCCTTCCTTATGCAGAGCCAAATCTGCCTCTTCTTTCTTCCTTACATGTTTCCAAGTTTTTCCCAGATATTGGAATTTCAAAAAAGTTGGTTATGAGTTTTACTACCTAATCATTACATTAGTTGCATTAGAGAGAGATGGGCTTTGGGGTTCTTACTCGCCATGTATACTGTTGCTGCTTCCTGTACACACATCTCCTCCCGGGTACAGGGTGTGAGTCTATTTAACGAGGCGCACACCATGATCCAGGTGCAGCAGCACGGTGGGGCCTGAGTGAGAGGAGACGCTGCCCCATTTCCCAGAGCTCTGGCTGGCGGAGAGAAGCCGGCTGTGCAGGGTGTGTGGAGCTCTGTCTTGGTGCCACCTCCTGCTTGTTGGAGATGGCATTCAGCAGTACCATCTTTATTAGCATTCCTCTTTGATGGACGCGTTCCAGAGCACTGACCAAGTATATTTTGATAGTTTTCCCAGCTTAATCACGGCTTAAGTGAAGGGGTGCATCTTGGATTTCCCAGGCAATTTGTGGTGACCTCACTCACCAAAGCTGTTTGGTGCCCTCAGTCTGTCCCCCCAAGTCTGGGAGCGAACCGTGAAATGGGATGGCATGACGGGCTAGTGCAGCTGGGTCTGTGTCCCCAGCCACAGCAGACATAAATTTCTGTCATTTCCAAATTACCCAGCCATGCTGAGCCCTCCTCTCCCCCAGAGTTCAGGCTGGTCAACGGCAGCAGCAGCTGTGAGGGCCGCGTGGAGCTCCAGGTGCAGGGGTCCTGGGCGCCCCTCTGTGCCACCCACTGGGACATAGCAGACGCCACCGTCCTCTGCCACCAGCTCAACTGTGGCAACGCGGTGGCCGCACCTCGAGGAGGCCATTTTGGGGGCGGGGACGCTGCCCTCTGGCCTGACGCGTTTCACTGTGAGGGGACAGAGCCCTACTTGTGGAATTGCCCAGTAAGCACCCTGGGGGCCCCGGCCTGTGCCCCGGGAAACTCGGCCTCCGCAGTGTGCTCAGGTGGGTGCAGCCAGGACGGTGGAGGAGGAGGAGGGTGAGTGAGAGCCATGGACAGAGGGTGCAAGGAAGGGCAGAGGGGCTGAGAGGGACCAGCCTGCCTGGGGGGTGGGGGGTGGGCCTGGGTCCCTCCCCCTGACAGCCCGGGGCCCCCGTGCGTCCCCGTCCCCAGGTCTCCCCCACGCCCTGCGGCTGCGGGAAGGACAGAGCCGCTGTGACGGCCGCGTGGAGGTCTCCCTGGACGGCGTGTGGGGCCGCGTCCTGGACGACGCCTGGGACGTGCGCGGCGCGGGCGTGGTGTGCCGGCAGCTGGGGTGCGGAGAGGCCCAGCGAGCCTACGACGCGCCCGCCCCCGGCCGCGGGTCCGTCCAGGTGGCGCTGAGCCGCGCGCGCTGTCTGGGCACCGAGACCCGCCTGACCCGGTGCAACGTGTCCGCGATGCTGCGGGAGCCCGCGGGGACCTCGCGGGACGCCGGCGTGGTGTGCTCCGGTGAGGGCGGAACCGCGTCCCCCGTGGGCCGTGGCCGCGCGGCGCGGGGCGCCCTGACTCTGTGTCTCCGCAGGGAGCCTCGGGGTGCGGCTGGCCGCGGGGCCGGGGCGCTGTGCGGGGCGCGTGGAGGTGCTGCGCGGGGGCGCGTGGGGCACCGTGTGTGACGACGCCTGGGACCTGCGGGACGCGCACGTGGTCTGCAGGCAGCTGGGCTGCGGCCGCGCCCTGAGCGCCCCGGGGGCCGCGCACTTCGGAGCCGGGGCGGGGCGCATCTGGCTGGACGAGCTGCGCTGCCAGGGCCACGAGTCTGCGCTGTGGCGGTGCCCGTCGGCGGGCTGGGGCCAGCACGACTGCGGGCACAAGGAGGACGCCGGCGCCTTCTGCTCAGGTCCTGAAGCCCGTCCACCCTGTCGTCCACCCTGCCGTCCCCACCCACACTCTCAGCTGGGCCTTGCTGACTGGCTTCTCTCTCTGCAGAGTTCACGGATCTGAGGCTGCAGAGCCACGGGCAGCCATGCGCAGGGCGGCTGGAAGTTTTCTACAATGGGACCTGGGGTGGTGTCTGCCGCACCCTGAGTGCGGCCTCCCTGCGGGTTGTGTGTGGGCAGCTGGGCTGTGGGTCTCACGGGCAGCTGCAGGCCGTGGCAGGGAGCCGGTCTGCTACTGAGTTTCTCTGGGTGGCCTCCATCCAGTGCAGGGACAGACATGACCAGTCCCTGTGGCAGTGCCCGTCAGCTCCTTGGGACCCGCATTCATGCTCCAGCGGAGAGGAAGCCTGGGTCCTGTGCACGGGTGAGTGGGTGGGGGAACGGTGGCGGAGAGAGGTCTGTGAGTGGCCCCGCACTGTGTCTGCATGGGCCCTTTCCTGGGAGAGGAATGTCAGCTTCCCTTGTCCTCATTCTGTATGACTCTGCCCTGGGCTGGTCCAGTGAAAGGGGACGGTCCCTGCTCCGAGGCTCTGTGCAGCGGGGGCGAGGAACATCTGGAGTCCTCCCAGACCCTGTGATCTCCCCCAGTGAGGGAGGCAGGGCCCCTGCACTACCCGGTATTGTCCGAGGACATCCTGCAGGGAGATGCGCCCCTTGGAGAAGTCTCAGGCAGTCTGTGGAGTCTGTAATCCCATGTGGAGATCTCTTGCTTAAACAGAGTTCTCGCTTTAGCCAGCAGAAATAGCTGTGCTGGGGAGACGGAGAGAAAAAGGAAATGAAAAATAGTTGACAAAATTTAAGCTGCTCAGCTTGCAAATACAAAAACGGGTCCCAATCTCCTACGCAGAAAAGGCAGGAGAAGTTCCTCAGGACCCTGGCGAGACCCTGAACTGCTCCTCCTCGCTCAGCTGCCCAGGTACCGCTGTGTCCCTGTCCCTGTCCTCCTTCCCGCCCCGTCCGGCCCCCCGAGTGACTGCAGCCCCTTTTCCAGAGGAGGGCGCAGTGCGCTTGCGCGGGGGCCAGGCCCGCTGCTCCGGGCGCGTGGAGCTCTGGCACGCGGGCTCATGGGGCACCGTGTGCGACGACGCCTGGGACCTGGCGGACGCGGAGGTGGTGTGCCGCCAGCTGGGCTGTGGTCCCGCCGTCGCCGCCCTGGCGGCCGCCGCCTTTGGCCCTGGCTCCGGGCCGGTGTGGCTGGACGAGGTGGGGTGCCGGGGCAGCGAGGGGTCCCTGCGGGGCTGCGCCGCGGAGCGGTGGGGACGCGGAGACTGCGCGCACAAGGAGGATGCGGGCGTGCACTGCTTGGGTGAGCGCGGGGTGGGAAATGGGTCATGAGGCGAGCAGAGGGCCCTGGGGTGGGAAGTCAGCCTTGAGTCCTGCTCTGTCGCTTCGCTGGGCGGGAGAACAGTCCCCGGGTTTAGTGGGTTGGTATCCATCCTGACGTTTTTCTGGGATAAGCCGGTTTGCTGTGGAGGCCTGGTTGGGACATGCATCCCCTGGGGTTTCCCTCTAATCTTTTTTGGGAATTCCCTTTTGTTTATCCCAATCCTTTTACATCTCGGGTTTAAGTGTCATCTGGGTGTTTGCAGGTTCACTTGTTCCCAAAGCCTGCGCCTCATTCTCTTTGCAGAAAACAGTTAAACACAGTAATGAGCTTAACAAAAATGGCAGCAGTGGGTAACTTGACCTGAGCCGCTCTGTGCTCTGGTCACCTCTTGTGACTTGCTGTGGCATCTGCTTGGCGGCCATGTTCCTCACTGTTTTACCAAGAAAGGGGGTGTCCCTTGAGGGCAGATGCCCCCATGGACCGCAGCCATTCTGGGGTGCTCTGCGCCCCTAAAACCAGAAGATACACCCCAGCATTTCTGACTTGCAGGTCCCCCATGAGGGTGAGGGTGTGGCTTGGCCCTCGGAGCCACCCTGTCCTGCCGAGGGTGTGCATGCCGCCCCTTGCCACCCTGCTGGCTCAAGACCTCTCTTTCCTCAGAGCCAGGCCCCGGTTCCCCACCGCCTGGAGCACCATTCTGGACACTCAGGGCTGTCAGTGTCATCCTGGGAGCCCTTCTTGGTTCTCTCCTTCTGGGCCTCTTGGCCTTTCTGATTCTACCTCGAGTCGCACAAGTCATGCAGAGGGGTAAGCACGAGCCCACCCTGACGCCATCAGCTGATGTGCCGGAGCGAGAGGGGCTCACAGCTCCAACCTGGTGCTGGGGTCCAGGCAGGCGGGGTGCTCTGCAGTGCTCAGGCCTGTGCAGACCTGTCCCCAAAGTCCAAGGAACTGAGAAGCTGAAGAAAGAGGCAGATAAATCCGGTTTCTTAGAAAGAAATGCTTAAAAGGGACTTAGGAAGACAAGCCACGTCCATGCCTTGGACGGCTTCTAGCTGAGACGGTGCATGCCCAGGCTGTCATCCCCCAGAACTGGAACTTACATACCCTAGGGGAAGGGGACATGTCGAACAGTTGCTTAAGGGCACGATTTACAGTAAGTGCATGCTCTTACCAAGAAACAGGAGATAAAATGGAAATCTTAGAGGCGTTCCCGGAACTGGAGTTGATCAGAAGTCAACATAGTGGATCAGCATCCAAGGCAGAGTTGCTTCAGCCTTGAGGCAGGTCTCACTTAGGGCTCCTTTTATAGGCCAGAGAGCATGGCAGACATGTGAGTCAGACTCCAGCCCTCAAGACCCCAGAAGGTCCCCCTCAGACAGCACATTGGGGCCCACTGGGAAGCATCATGTGGTTTACTGGCCAGGGATGGGAGGGCTCTAGGGGTCTGGCCTTGTGGCATGGTCCCCCCATCCCAGCCCACACTGAGGGCCTGCATGTGACCATGCTCACCTTGCCTCAGCTCTGAGAAGATCCGAGGTATCTCCTGGAGAAGCCATCTATGATGTCATTGGGGAAATGCCACTAGCAGGACTGTATGAGGAAATTGTGGAGGCTGAGGCCACGCCCCAAGGTGAGGAGGGTGGGGGTGTGGTAAAGGTGGATGCAGAAGCCACAGGTGGGTTCGTGCCCAGCTCAGGGGTGAGCTCTGGGGTGGGCTGTGGATGCTGACCACAAGATGTAATGAGAGGGGACTCTGACCGTAGGGCCTTGGCCTCAGAAGGCTGCTGACCACAGGGCTCAGGATGCAAGGGCACCCATGGGCAGGGGAGAGCAGGGCCACACCAATGAGGGCAGAGTCAGTGGCTGCAGTCCCCATTGGAGAGGCCTGCGCCGTGGTGGGAGAAGAGGGCTGGGAGGTGTGCTGGGGGCCGTGGGTCTGGCAGGGGCATATTCCAAGCTCTCTGGACACGTGCAGCTGACTCAGCCTGTCTCCTCACCTGTGGGAACTGTGCCTTCCTTGCGTGTTGTCAGGCACTTTCTGGCTGACGTTGGTTTCCAGCTTGCCAGATGTGCTTTCGGGACAACTTGCGTGTGTGCTGATTTGGTCATGCACTGTCTCTTGTGCCAGTTTCAGGGGAGGCATCTAACCTCCTGGAGGGACAGTCTACATGTGAGGAGGGAGGAGGCCACAGACCTCTTTCTCAGGGATATGACGAGGTTGTCTTTCCACTGGAGGACATGACACCGTGAAGCACCCTGAGGATGAGACACACCAGCTGGTCGTCAAAATCACATTTCTTCATTTTCTTCTGCAATTGTAGTGGATTTCTCAAAAACATCATGGATGCCTTTCTCTTGCTGTGTCCCGCACATCCATATGTAATCCCATCCTTCCAGGCCCTGCCTGGCTCTAGACCTCTGTCCCCTTCGAGGGTCATCTGCTATGGACAGTCGTGCTGTGTAACCTTCAGATTTCCCACGCATTACAGAAAATGCAAATGTGTATAGAAATCAGTGGTTGTGTTCGTGGTTTAGAGCCACGGGGTGCCGTCTCCGTCTTCTGCTCCACAGCTTGTTCTTGCTACCCAGAAGTGCACTGGAGAGCTCCCATGCCAGAACCTTCCTCTTTCTTCTTAAAAACTCTTCTTAATCGAATCCAAAGTATCTTTTAGATGTTCTGCTTGTATACTCATGCCATTGGTGGATATTCAGATTTGTCCTCGACTTCCATTCTGTGTCCCTTGAATCTCTCTGCGCCTTATTTCGTGGGCTGTGACCCTTCAGTCCAGCGTTGAACAGAGGTGGCCAGTGGAGGCCTTGTCTCATTCATGGACTCAAAGCAAACGTGCTCCATGTTTCATTTCACTATTAAATATAATATTTGATGCTTGGCTTTGTAGATGCTATTTATCAGATCAAGGAAAACCCAGTCTATCGCTAGTTTGTTAAGGGTTTTACTTTTTATCGTAAGTGTTGACTTTTATCAAATTCTTTTTTGTATCTATTAAGATGATATATGATTGATTTTTATATGTTAAATTAACCTTGGGTTAAACAAATCTAACTTTATCATGATATATTATTCTTTTTATATTTCACAGGAATTAGTCTGGTAATATGTTGTGCCAATGTTTAAAAAAGAAATTGATGTGTATTTTTTTTCTTTTGTTGTAATATTTCTGTTTAAGTTTTGGTATGAAGATTATTCAGGTCTCATAAGAGTTAAAACATATTCTCTTTTAAAAATTTTTTGCTAATTTGCACTCCCACAACAGTGTAAACGCGTTCCTGTTTCTCCACATCCTCACCAGCATCTGTTGTTTCCTGACTTTGGAATGATCACCATTCTAATTGGCGTGAGATGGTATCTCATTGTGGTTTTGATTTTCATTTCTGTAGTGACCAGTGACGAGCTTTTTTTCACGTTTTTTGGCCATGTATGTGTCTTCTTTTGAGAAGTGTCTGTTCATATCTTTCACCCACTTTTTGATGGGTCGTTTGCCTTTTTCTTGTAAATTTTTTAAAGTTCCTTGTAGATTCTGGTTATTAGCCCTTTGTCAGATGGATGTATTGAAAAAAATTTCTCCCATTCTGTAGGTGACCTGTTCATTCTGATGACCCATCAATGATAGACTGGATAGGGAAAATCTGGCACATATACACCATGGAATACTATGCAGCCATAAAAAAGGATGAGTTCATCATGTCCTTTGCAGGGACATGGATGAAGCTGGAAATCATCATTCTCAGCAAACTAACATAGGAACAGAAAACCAAACACTGCATGTTCTCACTCATAAGTGGGAGTCAAACAGTGAGAACACATGGACACAGGGAGGGGAACATCACACACTGGGGCCTGTTGTGGGGAGGGGGTTAGGGGAGGGATAGCATTAGGAGAAATACCTAATGTAGATAATGGGTTGATGGGTGCAGCAAACCACCATGGCATCGGTATACCTGTGTAACAAACCTGCACTTACTGCACATGTATTCCAGAACTTAAAGTAAAATTTAAAAAAATAAAAATAAAAAAAATTTTGCAAGAGTTTCTGTAGTATTGGTTCTATTTATCTTTAAATGTCTGGAATAATTCACTAGTAAAGCTCTCTATCTGGGTCTGGAGTTTCCTTTTAAGGAGCGTTTTTTTTTTTTTTTTCCAGATTTATTTTTTTAAAATAAATAATTGACATATTCAGATTCTCTATTTCAGATTTGTTAGAAATAGATGCATGGTGTCACAAAGAAAAGTTAGCACTGAGACAAAAGATTTTTCAGCAATGCAATTTTTACATCCTGGACCACAGGAAGGGTACCCTTGTTAGCCATCCTACCAGGAGAGTACAATGAACAAAGGAAAAGCAGACAAATTTATCCCTTATGCATTTGGGGTCATCCTTACTGCTGTGTCTGATCTCTGTTGGTTGGAGCCAGACCTCACAATCTAAACTAAAACCCTATGGGCTGATAACTTAAAACTTTTCTAGGCCGGGTGTGGTGGCTCACGCCAGTAATTCCAGCACTTTGGGAGGCCGAGGTGGGCAGATCACGAGGTCAGCAGATCAAGACCATCTTGGCCAACATGATGAAACTCTGTCTTTACCAAAAATACAAAATTAGCCAGGTATGGTGGTGTGTGCCTGTAGTCCCAGCTACTCGGGAGGCTGACACAGGAGAATTGCTTAAACCTGGGAGGCGGAGGCTGCAGTGAGCTGAGATTGCACCGCTGCACTCCAGCCTGTGCGACAGAGGGAGACTCCATCTCAAAAAAAAAAAAAAAAAAAAGAAAAACTTTTCTAAACAGGTAAAAGCAATGGAGAGCTGGGACATGCCTGTAAGCACATCCAGCACAGATATCTTGGTTAAAGTACAAGGACACAGAATGTACTACATGCCCGTAAACACGGCATGTCTAACAGCTACATAGGATAGGGCTTCACAAAGTTATTAGCACACTTTAACAAGAAAGGAAACTTTAAAAAAGGACTTTTCTACTTCCCATGCTATTAGATCTGCTTTGTTCAGTTCTTTTTAAAATGAATTGGTACATACAATCTAAATTTTCAAGTTTGTTGGTATACATTTGTTAATAGTATCTTTCTATTATCCTTAATGTCTACAAAATCTCTAGTCATGTGCATTTTTCAATCCTGATAGTGGCAATTTGTGTCTTCTCTCTTTTATTCTTTTTTTCTTTTTGAGAGACCAGGGTCTCACTGTGTTTGGTACTGGATTCAAACTCCTGGGCTCTAGCGATCCTCCCGCACAGCCCCCTGCACAGCTGGGACTCTGGGCACCCTGCTGTTCTTGACCAGTGCTGCTGACGGCTTATTCATCTCATTAGTCTTTTCAAGGCATGTGGAACCTGTGCCTTTGGTTTTCTTGATTTTTCTTAGTGAACATCTGCTTTCTATTTCATTTATTTCTGCTCTCATCTTTGTGATTTCCTTCTACTTATTCTAGCTTTTTATATGGACATTCAGATTGTTGGTATTCAGCATTTTTTTCTCTTTTAATGCATATATTTTAGGTTGTAACTTTCCCTTTTAGCATGGCTTCAGCTGCATTCTAAGAGCTTTCATGTGTTGTGATTTTATTTTAATAGGCTTATTGAGGTATGACCAGCATAGAATAAACTTCGCGTATTTAAAGGATACATTGCAGTAACTTTCGACATGCGCCTCCTCCCTGAAAGGATCGCAGCATCTATGAGGGTGGAAACATCCATCACCCCAGCACTTTTCATGTATGTTTGAACACTTGTCTTTGCTGTCCCTTCCTGTGCACTACCCCCCAGGTGATCAAGTTCAGCTTTCTGACACTGTAGACTAGTTTGCACTACTTGAATTTTATGCAAGTGGATTATATAGTATGTCCTCTTTTTGGGGGATGAGGGTCTGGCTGTTTTCGCTCAGCACAATTACTTGCGATTCATCCAGGTGGTGAGAAACCCTAGTTCATTTCTTCCTCTTGACAAACAGTGCTCCTCTGTGCTGTTCATCTGCTCACTTGTTAATGGGCATCTGCGTTGCTTCAAGTTTTTAGCTATTGCAAAAAAAGCTGCTGCAAATGTTCATGTGCGAGTCCTATGGACACGTGCTTTCATTTCTCTTGGCTACCTGGGAATGGCGCGACCGTGCGTAGGTGCAGGGCTAACGTTCCACCAACCTTTCCGGAGCGGCCGCACCAGTTACATCCCCCAGTAATCTCCGAGTGTCCCACTTCCTCCACAAGTTGCCAACACTCAGTTGATAATGTCTGACATTGTAACAGTACAGAGTGCTGTGTCCTTGTGGTCTTACTTTGCATTTACCTAAGGACTAATGATACTGAACATCTTTTCACGTCTTTATTTGCCATCTGTATATATACTTTGTTGAAGTGTCTGTTCAGAATTTTTGCTCATGTTTTATTGGGTTGTTTGAGTTTTGAGAGTTTTCCTGAGTTCCTCTGGAGTGGCCCCTTCCCAGTGGTGGCCCTAGCGCCACGGGGTTCTCCCCACAGCGGGAACACAGGAAGAAAGTGTTCAGGCAAGTCCTGCAGGACAGCGTCAGCCACGTCCAGATGTGGGCCTGGGGGCCGGGCCACACTAGCACCCCCCTCCCCTCTGGGCTATCTCCCCACAGGACTCGAGCCCAGCCAGGTGTCCCATTGGGTGCACAGGGGACCCCACCCCTGACAGAGGCACCCATTGTACTTTGGGCCACTGCTGATCTTTGTTCCGGGTGGGCTGGCAGCTCAGATGTTGCCCAAGAAGCTGTGGGGCAGGAGCAAAGGTCGGAGATTGGGAGGCTCTGGCTCATAGGAGGTGCTGTAGGACGCCCAGGCCAGTGGGAAGAGGCGTCCTGCAGAGGAAATGGCGGAGGGAGGGGTGTCTGCCAGGTTGTGTGGGGCTGGAGAGTGGGGGAGAGAATGGCTCTGTTGCGGTGATTCAGTGTGAGTCCATGTGCCGGCAGACCACCCCTCAGCCTTGGCGCTACTGACTTTGGGGCTGGGTTGCTCTCTGTGCAGGGCTGCCCTGTGCACCACAGGTGCTGAGCGGCACACCTGGTCTCCACCCACCAGGTGCCAGTGCAGCCCCCTTCCAGTTGTGACAATTAAAACATGTCTCTAGATGTCACCAAGAGTGCCCTGAGGGCAAAATCAGCACAGTTGGAACCTGTGGGTTAGCAGAAGATTGGATAGGATGCTGGTGAATATCCACAGGATATTTGAAAAACCTGATCATGCTTCAATTCTCATGTTTAACTGAAAAAAGACCGAGAGGACCCTGCCACACGCCTGTCACATTCGGTTCATGCACACACCTGGGCAGGGGGGCCCGGCCTTTGTCGCTGGATGTGCTCTGGGCCATGGAAAGTCTCAGCCAGTTTTGAAAAGTAGACCCAATCTAGTCATGTGCTTTGACTGCAAGTCCACACAGTTGGCACAAGGATGACCTTCACAATGAGCAGTCTTGATACTTAAAAACATTCAGGCAAGTAATCTGGGTTGAAGAGAAAGTCCATACTGATGTTTTGGACCGTGTAGAAACTAACAATCACAAGCTCACTGCCCTCAGTTTCTGGGGTCTGCACAATTGCAAGCATTTCACTCTCTCCTCTGTGCGAAGTTTATCCTGGTGTCTGGTCTGCGGGTGAGTTTCTGCCTGAGTGCCTTCCAAGGGGCTGGACTGAGGAGACCGGGAAGGGGATCCGGGCCATGGGCAGCTGAGGCTGGGTCCCTCTGCAAAGCCACAGGCCAGCGGGTGGTGCAGACGTGTGGCCACCCCTCCTCGCAAGTGAGAAACTACACAGAGTCGCAAAATGGGCAGGAAGAGCTGATCATGCTGCGCTGGACACGCGCTCGTGCTCAGGGCGGCGACTTTCATTGCACGCATTTATCACTGCTGCTTGAGCCAACATTTTCAATATTTCAAAAAACAAATGAAAACTTATTACTATTTTGAGCCCACAGCCAGAAACACAAGAGACCGGGGTGGATGTCAGAGTCACAGCAGGAAGCAGGCGGCAGGCCCAGAGGGGCTGAAGAGTTTAAAGAAGGGCTGTCGGGAGGGTGGGCAGCGTTTAAGGAGACCACCCCGCGTCCCCGGCGGTGGCGGCAGTGAGGACTGCAGTGGGGGTGGTGGAGGCCGACCGGACTCTGAGGCCCAGAAAGGGCCCAGCAGGAAGGGAGCCCACAGCCGCCGCCCCGTGGTGGGTCAGCCTCCTGGCAGCGCTGGGCAAAGGGCAGAGCCGGTGTCTGGAGACAAGACAGACGTTCCCCAGGACAGGACGCTGAGCTCCTCTATCGCGGATGCAGGAGGGGTCCGTGAAGGGGCCGATTCCCACCTCCCTGGAGCTATGGAGTGAGCCTGCTGGATATGTCTGTGCATTTACGATGGTGTCGAATGTTTTAAAATGATGCTGCATTTCCGTTTGCCTGAGAAATAATTCTAGCCGCACTCTTACACTC